CAAAATTGACAAAATTTTAGCGGGATCGACAAAGGAAAAAAAAAAGGACTCTGCTGAGGGCCATTGCCAAGTAGGATTGACGCTTCGAAATTTCCTTGCCAGCGTACCCCATGTTGCTTAGAGGACATTCGCTGGGACATTGCATGTATGCTTTAGTAAGGTGACCTTGCTCAAGGACCAGGGCGGATCCGGGTTTAGAGCTGATCAGGTTTTAGGGAGTATCCCGTCCTTGGGTTTAAGGCATTCCCGATTTAAGACAAGTTTAGGGCGTTCCCGGTTTAAGACAATATGGGTTTTAAGGAAGTTCCAGGTTTAAGTTTATTGCTGCTGGGAATAGGGCGCTCCTGCTGCTTGAGTTCCCATTGAGTTCTCGTGAGATTCAAAAAGTATTTGGAAAAAAGCCTCTTGGAGTAGGTGGATTGGGCAGCGGGAGAACTGAGATTTCCCCTGAACGTGTGTGGAGGCCGGTATGAGTTCGGGAATAAAGAATTGCTGTTTGAATCTACAAGGTGTGTGGTGGCTCGTGATTCTGCCACCAGCCAAGACACTGGCAAGACCCAACTTACTAGAATCAGCAATGGAAGTGGGAACTTTACTACCGACCTCACAAAAATGAAAATCATTATAAAGGAATACTAGAAATAATTGTAAGCTGATGAACTATGGGATTTAGATGGTGTCTTGGTCTGTTTGGTGTTGCCACAACAGAATACCTGACACTGGGTAAGTTATAAAGAAAAGAAATTTACTTTTCACGGTTCTGGAGGCTGGGAAAGCCAAGATCAAGGGGCTGCACCTGGTGAGGGCCTCCTGACTGTGGTATCCCCAGGTGGAAAAGTGAAGGGTGCTGAGCTCAGGTGACAGGACCCAGGAGGGGCAGACTCAGTTAGAGGACCTGCTCTCGGGATAACTGATAACTAACCACTCCTAGGGAGCAACCTGAAACAGTCCTCAGGGCCTCAGGTCTCCTTAGACCCCACCCACCAACCCCGCTGTCCTGCGGGTTAAGGGTCCAACACGTGAATTTTGGGAACACATTCAAATCATAGCAAATGTATAAATTCTTTGAAAGACATAAATGAATGATTGAAATTGACTCTAAGAAAAAAAAAATAGATAATCTGAACAGAGTGCCCATAAGTGCAGAGGTTGAAGAGATAATCAGAAACGCATCCCTCCCCACAGTGACATCCAGAGGCAGAAGGTTTTGAGGGAGGACAGAAGAGATTGGGTGCCTAGCAATCAGACAGAGGAGGCAGGTTTATTGACTGCAGGGTTCAGAGGTGGCTCTCGCCTTAGAATTCTTCCTTGGAACAAAGATTTTGGAAATTCTTTGAACTTTATACCCAGTGCCAGGAGGGGTTTGGAGATGTACATAAAAATATTTTTCCTTTTTTTTTTTTTTTTAATTCTCAGAAAGTGCTTTTCTTAAGGCCAGAAAACAGAGATAACATCTTCTTGTACAACAGCCTTGCAGACTAACTCACATCTTTCATGTGCAAACCTGGCATTTACAAGAAAAGGGAAACTACCAACCACAGTAACCTCTGCAGACATCCTGCGGATCTGACTAGGAGAGAAGCTTAATCATGGCAAGGGTCTTTGGGGGTGGGGGCGGGGGTGGGGGTGGGGTCTCTGGCCTGCTTCAGTTTCACTGGAAAATTCTTCCAATATTTGAAGAATTAATATCCATTTCTTCTCAAACTCTTGCAGAGATTAGAGAAAGCAACACTTTGCAGTTCATTCTACAGGGCCAAGGTTACCTTTTTTACCAAAATCAGACAAAAAAAGAGATCACCAGAAAACTACAGACCCATATCTCCTAAGAACAGAGATGCGCAAAAATCCTCTACATAACAGCAAACCAAACCTAGCAAAATAAAGAGTCACACACTGAAAGGCCAAGGTTCGTCGTCGGAGATTAAAACGCACACACACACACAGACAGCAGTGACAAAGATGAAGCACTTGACTGCAAGCTGGGTCTCGCTTATATAGAGAGTGAGAGTCAGTTACCTTAAACCAGGAAGCTCCCGGGGCCCATCCTAGTAAAGGTCAGGTGATCGCCTTACTGTGCACGCACGTCCACCCTGCGTAAGATTCATGGGGGGCACAGACTGTCCAGGAGCAGGGAAGGCAGGAGGACCAATTAGAAGGTTTTCAAAACAACTTGATATCCACCCACTGGCAACTTGCCTGCCGCCGTGTTGCATTAGGGGCTCCTCATCTGAAAGGCCCAGAGAGTTCTCAGGGAGACTCCCAGCACACACCATGGCCAAATGGAAGCTACTCCAGGAATCTAAGAGAAATCTCAAAATCGGTTAGTATAATTGTGAGACCAGAACAAAAAGAAAAGACCACCGACTCCAACTGAAATCAAATTAAAGCAAGCTTGTAACTTCGACCGGCTGGGCCGCCTCTTCCCCAAAAACCGTGGGAACAGGAGACTTCAGAGAGGGTCCTTATCTGGCCAGGGAAAGCCAGAATTTATAAGGCACCACTACAGTTTCAGAGAGGGCTGCTCTCTGGTCAGGGAAAGCCGGGCAGGGGTGAGTTCCAGGCACGGGCAGGCATTCCAGGCAGGTTCAGAAATCACAGAAATTTATAGTAAAACCGAAATTAACTTTTCATGACTTTGTGGCGCGAGATGGCTCCCAGTCTTAAGAGGGAATTAGGCTGGGTCTATCAATAATATATCATATTAATAGAATTTAAAAAAAAACAAAAACCACATGATCATTTTGATAGGTACAGAGAAGGCCTGTGACAAAATCCAGCAGCCCTTCGTGATAAAAAGAAAGCGTTCAGTGAACTAGGAACACAGGAGAATTTCCTCAACACGGTCAAGGGCACCTCTTAAAAATCCAGCTTGGGACTGGGGTGTAGCCCAATGGTATGTGCTTGCCTGGCAGGAGCAAGGCTCTATCCCCAGGAATATAAGAGGGGACACAGACAAAACCTCAAAATTACCCTCATTTCACGTTGTATTTAATAGTGAAAGCCAGAATTCACTATGTCCACTCGCACCACTTCTACCCAACATGATAATAAGGGCTCCAGCCAGGGCAGTTAGGCAAGTAAAAGAAGTAAAAGGTACCCAGGATGGAAAAGAAGAAAAACTGCCTGTATGCACAGAGAATTTTATCTCGTGCATAGAAAATCCTAAAGATTCTATTAAAAAAAAAAACTACTGTGAATAATACCAAGATCAGCAAGATTTCATGATACAAGATTAAATATGAAAATCAATTGTATTTTTATATCCTTGCAAAGAACAATCCAAGAATAAAATTTAAAAAGCAATTACATCCATAATTAACACCCAAAAGAATACAACACTTAGAAATATATGTAACAGAAATAGAAAGAAATGAAAGCAGATACAAATAAACGGGAAAACATTCCATGTTCATGGATTGGAAGACTTACTAGTGTTAATATGATAAAACTCCCCATGTCGATCTACAGATTTAATGCAATACCTATCTTTATAGAAATTGATCAGCTGATTCTAAAATTCATATGCAATTCTAAAGGACCCAAGATAAATTGAAAAAAAAAAAAAAAACAAAGCTGGAAGACTCAAAGTTCAGGATTTCAAAACTTAGTCCAAAACAATAGTAAGAAAGAACAAGGCTAGTCATAAGATCCACAGAATAGAATTGAGAATCCAAAGTCAGTCCCGGTATCTGTAGCCTGACTTTCTTTTTTTTTTTTTTAAAGAGAGAGGAGAGATAGAGGGAGAGAGAGAGAGAGAGAATTTTCAATATTTATTTTTTAGTTCTCGGTGGACACAACGTCCTGGTTGGTATGTGGTGCTGAGGATCGAACCCGGGCCGCACGCATGCAAGGCGAGCGCGCTACCGCTTGAGCCACATCCCCAGCCATGTAGCCTGACTTTCAACAAGGATTTGGGGCCTATTAAATGCAGGGAAAAAATAGCATTTTCAACAAATGGTGGTTTAACAACCAGATAGTCACATGCAAAAGAATGAAGTTGGATGCTCACCTCACAACATAGGCAAAAATTGATCCAAAAATGGAGCAAGACATAAACATAAGGGCTAAAACTATAAAACTCCAAAGAGAAAACACAAGGGTAAATCTTCATGTCCTCATTTATGGCAACAGATTCCTTTCCCCCTGAATGCCGTGGATCAAACCCAGGGCCTTGTGCACACTAGGCAAACGTTCTATCGCTGAGCTACAACCCCAGCCCCAAATAGACATTTAGATAGAACACCGGTACAAAAGCAACAACCATAAACATAAATCTGGCTTCACCAAATTTTTTTTTTAAAGAGAGAGTGAGAGAGGAGAGAGAGAGAGAGAGAGAGAGAGAGAATTTTTTTAATATTTATTTTTTAGTTCTCGGCGGACACAACATCTTTGTTTGTATGTGGTGCTGAGGATCGAACCCGGGCCGCACGCACACCAGGCGAGAGCGCTACCGCTTGAGCCACATCCCCAGCCCACACCAAAATTTTTAAAAAAACATTTTGTGCTCAAAGATACCATCAAGAAAGCAAAAAAAAACAACTCACCAATTGGGAGAAAATATTTATAGATCATATATCTGATAAGGATCTTGTGTTCTGAATATATAAAGAATTCTTACAACTCAATGATAAAAAGACAATGTGATTTTTAAAAAATGGGGAAAGATTCTGAGTAGACATTTCTCCAAAGAAAATATACCTATGGCGAATCAACACATGAAAAGATGCTCAACAGTGTTTGACTTTAGAGAAATGCAATCCCAAACCACAATGAGAGACTCTTCTCACCCACAAGGAGGACTGGAATAAAAAGTCAGATAATGACAAGCCTTGGTGAGGGTGTGGAGAAATTGGAGCCCTCGTGCATATCCATCGCTGGCGTGTAAAATGGTGCAGCCAATTTGGAAATCAGTCTGGCAGTTTCCTCACACTGCTAAAAATAGAGTTGACCTAATAATTCTATTTCCTAAGAGAAATGAAAACACATGTTCACACAAAAACTTGTGCATGAATGTTTATTGCATTATTATTCGTAATAACCAAGAGGCAAAATATCCATCCCCAAATATCCATCAACTGATGAATGCATAAATGAAATACACTAAAACCTTACAGTGGAATATTATTAAACTATAAAAAGGAATGTGGAGCTGGGGATATAGCTCAGTTGGTAGAGTGCTTGCCTGGCCTGCACAGGGACCTGGGTTCAATCCCCAGTACCACACACACACACACACACACACACACACACACACACACAAAGGAATATATTACCAATACATTCGACCTCACAGAGGGACCTTGAAAACATTATGCCCAGTGAAAGGAGCCAATCACAAAAGGTCAAAGATTATATGAAATGTCCAGAATAGGCAAATCTAGACACAGGGAGGAGATTAATGATTGCTTATGCTTAGAGGGAAATGGGTGAACAGGGAGATGGGTAATTATAGGGCATGGGGATGATGGAAATGTTTTAAAATTGATTATGACGATCGTTGCACACATCGTTAAAGGCATTGACTTTAAATGCAGACCCACACTTGTGGACATCTTTCCTCCAAGTCACAGTGCCACCAGGTGCACGGCTGGTCAGGAAACACTCCTTCCTTCAGGGGTGTCCTGTGCGAGGCCATTGGGCTGCAGCTGCCCATCCATGTGTGCATGATGCCTGCGGATCACACAGAACTCTGTGGGAACCATCCTGAGGTTTTCTTCCTGTGACAGCTGGCCCTAGGGAACTGCTGAGAGCGTGTCATTTTAGAGAGTGTCATTTAAGAGAGAGGCCGTGGAAAGGCATGAGCATGAACCATTTCTCCTACAACTTACCTTCAGGACCCACCTGCTCCCAGTGACACCGGCTCCATTGGACCCTGGAGTGCTGTCGGACTTGCTGCTCACCCAGTTCGCAGCTGTTGGGTGAGACAACACCAGGGCATGATGGGTAGCTCAGGCCACATGGTATCTTGGTGGCCCAGAGTCCAGCCTTCCGTCTCTGCTAAGGCCCAGGAGAAAGCCAAATGCTCTTTCTCAACAGCAGAGTATTTTCAAAGAAGGGTGCGGCCCCCCACATTCTAGAGGTCCACAATGGGGTTCACCTGCAAGGCCTTCCAGGGTATGCAAACAGCCTCCCCATCCGCCACAGCACAAGCTCTACTGTCTCGGTCCTCAGCTGACATGGGGCTTTCTTTTGTTCCAGGTCCCATCCCAAACTGACTGCCTTTCGGTCACTTGGTAAATGAGTCCCAGCAGGGCTCCCAGAGTAGCTGGATGTTGACTGCAGAATCCAAAGGGCCCCACAGACACTGGGCCTCTCTCTTAGCATCAGCAACATTTCCTTCACTTAGGAAGGGCTCTCCACCTGCCTCAGATCACTGGACCCCAAGAACTTTTGCTGAAGTTACAGACCCCTAAAATTCTGGGCGATTTATTTCTCCCCTCCAGTGTGGAAGGATCTTACCAACGTGGCCGCCGTAGTTACTATGTCTTGTTCATCAGCTCCAATCACGACAATATCATCAATTCTAACAGACCAGCGTGATGTCCCATGGGAAAGAAAGGTCAATCCAGATGCTACTATGACATAGGTCTAGAGCACTGATACCACCCTGAGGTGGGACCGCAAAGGTGTGTTGCTGGTTTTGCTGGCTGAAAACAAGCGACTTCAAATGGTCTTTTCTAATAGGTATAAGTAGAAAAGCATTTTCCAGATCAATAACTGCATGCAGGTGCCAGGAGATGCGTGATTACTGCAGCACTCACAACCCACTCGGAATAGCAGGTGAAAGTGGAGTCACCCTCCAATTAAGTTTATAACGGTCCAACGTCACTCTTCAAGATTCATCAGATTTCTTTATGTCTCCAAAAGGTGAGTTGAATGGGGAAGTAAGGGGACTCACCACACCCCTGCACCTGCCAAGTCCTTCATGGTGGCCCCAATCTCTGCCACCCTGTCGGGAATGTGGCATTGCTTTTTGTGATTATTTTCATGGGTAGAGAGAGTTCTAGTGGCTTCCACTTGGATTTTCCTACCATATCTTCCTCAGTCTCTGAGTCGGGGAACCAAGTTGGAATTCCTCCAATTGCTCAATGAATTCCAAGGATTCATCTCAGAATTGAGGAAATAGTGGTCGGATGCATTCAGGACCTGTCAGTCCCTCGGTGAGACAGAACTTCCTACAACTCCAGCAGTGACATTTTGGGTCTCTAGGAAAGAAGGTCAGTTCAAACCCAATGTCCGTTAATCTCCGGAAAGTGACTATTTCCCTTTCCCCCAAAGCATAGTCACTTTGCAAACCGTCACTTGTGTCTGGAGAAGTTTAAGAGGAAGATTAACAGCATAAAGATTGGCGGTAAAACATCCTTCCTCATGGGGACTGTGCCTCTCCTTCCTTAGAGGACTCAAGTATGGGAAGTGACAGAGGGGCTAGGACACCCTGCCTCGGTCGGTCGGTCGGTCGTTCAGGTCACACCTCTGTCCTCTAGATCCAGCACTCACCCGTCGGATCAAGCAGGACTTGAGCAGGCTCACACCTCTTCCATTTCTATGGATACCATGAGAAAGTAGCGAATGCCCAGACCTCTGAGAGTCAGACTCTCACCACGGCTGACTGGGCTTCCCCACGGTAACCATGCTCACCTCACCTCCTGCATGCCAATGCTACTTGGATCCCCGCCACTCGGGCTCCCATCAGGCCCACTGCATTTAGAAATTCCAGCTCAGTGGTGTCCGTTGCCACTAGACTCTCTGACCTGTGAAGAAGGATTACCAAGAGAGCGCTGGAAGAACGCTGGGGCCTGCCTTCATAAATTTATTTCTGAAAGCTGCGATGAAAGTTGTGTCCCCCTGACCTTCCAGTGTGTGAGGATGAGCGAGTCTTTTATGACAAAGGCACTGTAGCATGCCACGCTTCCTCAACCCTTGGACACCATCCGCTACAGCAGAGATCATTCAGCTATGGCCTGTGGCCACCTCTAGCCCCCGGGCTGCTTTTTGATGACCCACAAGATAAAAGTGGATTTTACATTATAGTTGAAACAAAGTCAAAAGGAGAATCATATTGTGACATAGGAAAACGATATGGAATTCGGATGTCGGTGCTCGAAAGTAAGTTTTTTGGGGGGAGACGGCCATGCTCATGTGTTTTCAGGTTGACTTGGTGGTGTTTCCACCAGGAGGGGACAGAGACTAACCCATAGCACCTCACACGTTTACCATCTGGCCTTTAACAGAAAAAGGGTGCTGACCCATGCTCTGTAATATACCAAGGGACTTCTGCCAAGACAGTCAGTGGAGTGGGCCCTCCGTGTCTGCAGGCTCCACGTTTGTGAATTCAGTGAGCTGTGGATTGGGGGTAAAAAGTGTGTGTGTGTGTGTGTGTGTGTGTGTGTGTGTGTGTTGCATCTGTACTGACACGATGCATTTTTCCTGTCGTTCTCTAAAAACAATATAGTAAGCCAGGCGCAGTGGCACACACCTGTAATCCCAGTGGCTCGGGAGGCTGAGACAGGAGGATCGGGAATTCAAAGTCAGCCTCAGCAATGGCAAGGCACTTAGCAACTCAGTGAGACCCTGTCTCTAAATAAAATGCAAAATAGGGCTGGGGATGTGGCTTAGTGGTTGAATGCCCCTGAGCTCAATCCCTGGTACCAATAAATAAATAAATGAATACAATATAACAACAATTTCCATAGCATTTACTGCATATTTAGTATTATAAATCATCCAAGGATGATTTAAAACACATGGGAGAACATGGGTACTTTCTATGCAAATACTACGTGATTTCCTAGAAGGAACTAGAGTATCCTTGTATTTTGGTATCCATAGGGGTCCCAGAGCTAGTCCCCCAGGGGTACCAAGGGATGGATGTATAGGCCAACTTGGGGTCCCTATTATCAGCCAACCAACCAAGAAAATGTGAGAACCATTCCTAGCCCTTCAGTCTCAAACACTGAATCTCTGCTTGGTGGGTCAATAGCCATAAATTAGCCTGACCCAACTTTATATAATTCTACCTTGATTCAACCATCTTGATACCCATTTCTACACATTTTCTCCAGTTTTCTGCTGATATAAACTGGAAGCAGAAATTGCCAATTAGTTGGGTGTGCATTTCACCTTCTCATGTGTGTCTCTGTACCTGACCTTTTGGGTTCTCTTGAGCCTTGAATCTAGTTAGGTCTTAGGAACAAGAAGAGGTGGTAGGAATAGGTCACCCAGGAACATCAACAGAGCCTGGTGAGGCAATTACCTTGGGAAGACCATAAGAGTTTCTTCAGGCAAAGGAAGACTCACTTTGCAGGCAGAGGTAGAGGGCTGCTTCGATCTGCAAAGAGATGGCAGAAGTTGAGAGAGAGCAGAATTTGAGGTCGGAAGTTCAGTGTTGTAATTGCACCCACAGAATTAGACTTGGGTTTGATTTTCAGAAAGCTTATCCCTGTGACTATGGGAAATGAGCGTTTCTTTCAAGGCAGACACAGAAGCTTTCAAGTTTCTTATCCAGAACTTGAGCTGGGAATTTAAAACTCTGAGCTCATTACTTTCTTTTCCCGCATTTGGTTAGAAACAAAGAGCCAATCCCACTATCCATCTGATTTTCACAAAAATGTGCTATGGAAGCAGATGCTCAGTCACTCCAACACAGGAAGCTCCAGGTGATGATCTGAGCAACTCTTTTGCCACTTCGTGCCATGGGCTCCCAGCGTCCTCTTTTATCACTAGAAAGGTCATTAATGACTTCAAATCTAATTAGGTCTGAAAACCAATTCCAGAAAACCTAGAATTCATGATAGGATTCTGTTCTGGAACACCACCCTGAGTATTAAATTAGGTATCAGCAAAGATGAACTTTTTTTTTTGGTGCTGGGGATTGAACCCAGGTGCACTTTACCACTGAGCCACGTCCCCAGCCTCTTTTAGTATTAATTTGAGACAAGGTCTTGCTAAGTTGCTTAGGGCCTTGCTAAATTGCTGAGGCTGGTCTCGAACTTGCAATCCTCCTGCCTCAGCCTCTCGAGTTGCTGGGATTATAGACATGCATCACCACACCCAGCAAAGCTGAACTTCTAACACACACACACACACACACACACACACACACACATACACACACACACACACACACAATCTAACAATCCAAGCTTTAATAACTGTGGGAATCTGTCCCTATAAAGCTGCTGTTGCTATGCTTGATGCTAAAGCCCACAGGGAAGGAAATCAAGAACAGAAAATGGAGGTAAATTCTGGGAGAGGAAGGAATCAGCTGGAGCCCACCAGGATAAACAATCCCATGTTGGTTTTTGTGGCCTCTGTCCTTGGTGGTACGGTGTCCTACCAGAAAAAGGGCCTTTTTTCACAGGGCTAATCATACCCACATGGCCCAGGAGTTGGATAAGCTGAAGAAGGAATGAAAAAGGTGGAACAATTGAGTCTTGGTTGCTGCCTTCCATCTACAAGATGAGCTGGCAGAAAATT